ACAGTGAGAGAGGGAACATGAGCAGGGGAAGTGGGAGAGGGAGAAGCAGGCTTCCTGCAGAGCAGGGAGCCCGATGTGGGGCTTGATCCCAGGACGCTGGGATCATGACCTGAGCTGAAGGCAGACGCTTAACGACTAAGCCACCCAGGTGCCCCGAAAAGAAGATATTTAATAACTACAGATATCACCCAAATACATCACCTAAGGAAAACAGGTCGTTGACAATCTTTGCTATTGTACATGTGGTCCTAAACAGGGGACTGGCTAAAGAAACTGTGGTACATTCTCAAGATTTAGTATTGAGCAGTTAATAAAAAGAATGACTTAGTGTGTTCAGTTTTGTACCTGGGATTTGTTCTAAGACACGAAGACAGAGAAATGATTGTCATAAAGAAGAAAGTTTATACCCACAGACCCCCAGAACCAGGAGGCGGGGCACACCATGCCACGCAGGGCTACATGGAGAAGGACCACGGCTAGTCGGGAGGCAGAGCGGGAGGACAGAGCATGGCCCAGAGCCTTTGCTGGGGTTTTGTGGCAAGGAATGGATGAAGCAGGTAGGTACACTGAATAAATTTAGGATTGGATAGTTTGAATAATTTTGGTGGTCTCTGGGATATTGGAGTGGTCCCTAGTTGTCTGGGGCCTGGCCCTGCGGTGATTTAGGGCAGTAGGAACACTGCGTTGGTGTGAGTTTGATCAAACTGAGTTTGACAAAGAAGATGGTTGTGGGTGTGGACTCTGGATTGATTGGTTTGTATATCAAAGACTCACTCTCAGGGGAGTCATTTGCTAGTCCTAGAATGGGGCAGTGTTGCCAGGATGAAAGCCACAAATGCCAGAGTATCAAGAATACAGAAAATAAGAAAATATAATTAATACAATTGCATCATATCAAGGAATTTTGAGGCAATGCTAGTGGAGAGTATGGCATAAGATGCCATTAACCAAGAAAACAGATCTGAAATTCTTGGGGTCTCTAACAATATCTTGGTGGAGTTGTAAAGTATGTTAAAAGTATGATGCAGGGGCGCCTGGGTGGCTCAGTTGGTTAAGCGACTGCCTTCGGCTCAGGTCATGATCCCAGGGTCCTGGGATCGAGCCCCGCATCGGGCTCCCTGCTCAGCGGGAAGCCTGCTTCTCCCTCTCCCACTCCCCCTGTTTGTGTTCCCTCTCTCTCTGTCTCTCTCTCTCTCTGTCAATTAAATAAAATCTTTAAAAAAATAAAAAAATAAAAAAAATAAAAGTATGATGTATATCTGTATCTCTCTCTCTATTGCTCTATTTATATCTCAAGGTGGTGGGTCCAGCAGTTATTTTGTCGCAGGGTATGAAATGGTAAGTTAGTAAAGTATGTGTAAAGATTAGGGATATCATGTAGCCAAAAGGAAAAGAATGGCTGTGGTGGTCAGGGTGGGAGACAAAATGAGAGGCGGAAAAGTCTTGGGAAGTACCTGGTTCTCTCCCCAGAGGGTTGAAGGATTTTACTGATATGAGGCAGGTGCCTAAGGAGAAAGCAATAATCTCCATTAATATTTAGAATGGAAGATAGTAGTAACCGCTACCATATTTCCCTACGGGCATGGGAGGGTAGGAGTGTGCCTTTTGGCAGGGAACAAAGACTGTAGCCAGATCATGGGCTAAGCAGACAGTAAGCTCAAAACCGTGATGGGATCCCTACTATCAAAGGAATAAAAGCAAAAATGTCCTGTGTCTAATTTGTGCCTTAGGAGAGCCAGCCCATGGACATCCATGGGCTCACCTCCTAACAGTGAGGTCTTGGACTGGGGCAATGATATCTAGGATGTGGAACTGGGGTATCCTTTCCAAAAGGGTACCCACTTGAGGTGATGTGGGTCTCAGCATTTGCAGCAATGGCTTATTCAGAGGGTTTGGGTCTCCAGATTGCAAGTTAAGGAAATCACGCAGACCAATGGTAATAGGACCAACAGTCAACAGAAAGGTATGTGGCTATACCTCACAGGGTTGTTTTTTTGTTGTTGTTGAAGTTTAGGCTCAAATGAGTCCTATATTAGATGAACAGCTGTCTGATCTATGGACAATCTGGATAATGGGTCCCAAAAGAGTATGCACCCTTGATATGGCCTCCAGCCCTTCTGGGATAGGGAAATGATAAACAATTTATAAAGACAGGGAAAAACATTATAAAAAGGGCCTCATAAATAATGAATGTTTATATATAGGGCGGCAAGACACTTTTCCCTTTAAATACAGGAAAGGGCAATGGAAAAGTTTTCTAAGTTGGTGTGAGGTGCAATTTGGCCAAAGGGCCTTGAATTAAGAGAGAATAAGGCCTGGAGCAAGATAGAGACCCTTCACAGGTCCATTTACCGGAGCAGAACTCGAAAAGGAGTTATTTGAGAAGGCCACTATATCTATCAATTAAACCAGCTATTTGGGACTTAATACGGACACCAAAGTTCTATTGAATACCTTTTCCAAAAGACTAGCATTGTGTATTTTGATAAGTAAAATGTGTGTCTTGCTTATTATAAGTAATGTCTATAACTCTGAAAGTAATATGGAGTGTCCGGGCAAGGCATTGTATTGTGACCTTAATATAGATGGAGATGTGTAATTTTGACTTAGATTTCGGGTATCTGTGAGGAAAGAGAGTCCCAGAGTTTGCTTGTTTGTTTCTCCCTGAAAGGGACAATTTTTAGGCAATGGCCCAACAATTATAACATAAGTTATAATTAATGTAAAGATGAAGCTACTTATTGGCCAGGGCATCGAGTACTAAGATGACTGCATGAAGTTTGGCCAAGTGTGTTGTTTCTTGGGTCCTGTCCTTTATTAGGGACATCTTGGCTAAGAGATGGAAAGCAGCAACATTCCACTGAGTTCCACCATGTTTGGTGGCTCGCAGTGTCATTTGCATAGTCTAGGCACTTCCTTGCTATTCATTCAGTTAATCCCAAGTGTCTTCCCAGTGATCTAGGGGAGCGGTGACATCCTCCAGAACCATGCCATCTGGCAAAGCACCGAGGATAGAGACAGCCACCTCCTCCTACAGGTGGAATATACCAGAGAGCCCAGATTTGACTCTATCCTACCTTAAGGAGGCCTTGGTAGTTATACTGAGTTTCTGGTGGGCTATTTTCATGACTTAAAGCTTAATACGCTGCTGGGTATGAAAGGTCACAGGCTCAGGGTCTGTGAGAGCCTCTATTTTCCAGAGAGATGGAAATCTTTAAGGCTTTCTGAGAGCTGGTCTTTACTTTCAACAGTTTAAGTCACCCCCAAGCAAAACCTGAAGAGTAGGATTAAAGCCTCCAGATGCAGACAGACCCAAAGTGGGGCTGTGATTCACTACCTGAGCTACCCCCCTTTTCCCTCCCCTTCCCCCTTCGGAGGTAAAATCGGCTTCCTCTCTGCCTAAAGCAGGGCTAAAAAGATCACCAATCCTGAAACTTGTCACATGGAAGCTACAGCAGCGCAGGCACACAGATCCAGAGCTTGAAAAACAGATGCTCTTGGTTCACAAGTCCACAACACATACTTGGTTAATAATGTGGATTGTTGCATACGTGGTTAATACTGTGGATTATTGGATGGGGAGGGAGGTGCTGAGGTGGGAGGAGAGGAATTTCCATGATAATAACAGCAAGCCAAACATCCCATTATGTAAAATTATGTCAAAAAAAGATGCATGGAAGAATGGCCACCAAAATGATAACAGTAGTTACCTTAGGGTGATATGATTCCAGGTGACCATTATATTCTTTTGTAAGTTTTAATGTTGTCTGAATGATTTACAATCAGCATGTATATTTATATAACTAGAAAGAAGCAATATAGTTATTTGCAGCTTAGAGGAGGACTTCTTTTTAAATAAAAAAAAAATTCCAATTTCAGTAGCATTCTCAAAGATAATAAGCATCCTCACTAAGGAGTTGGGGGGAAGTGACAGTATAATGGTCAGGGCTTAAGAAAATCAAGCATAGTAAACATATGTTAAACATTTGCCCAGAAAGGTCTGATATGAGGCCTACCACACACTTAAAAACTCAACAACTATACACTTGTTATTCAAGCTATAAAAACCTCTTTTCCTATCTCCTGCTGATAAGAATCAGAAAGAAAGGGAGTAAGATTAGCTTCATGATAATCACTTGTGGGTTATTATACAAGAAAAGTAGACAATAAAATAGAAATTTTGTGACAACATTTCATGTTGAGCCAGATTTCCTGCCAGGGCATTTTCTGCTTTAATGACTGAAACAGGACTTGGTCACATCTTAACAAGATTCACAGAAGGGAGGTTCAAGCATGAGTACAAGCTACCATCTGACACATAAAAATAAAGAAAACATGGGATTTCCCCCAAGTTAAAACCTTCTGTGATACACACTTTTTGGACTGAGTCCAAAAATATTTAATTAAAGCTAGACAATGGTTGGCTAAAGGAAATCATTGCAAAAACTGAATGCGTGAATAAAAAAGAATTTAAAAATTGGACGCTAACTTTTCAACTATCATTTTTTATATGATTGTCCTCAGTAAAAGCAGCATAAAAGTGAAAATGAACAAAGTGATGGTACAGCCAGTAGGAGAAAGTCAGTGCTGATAACCTTTACTTGCTCATCCTCTGAGATTGCATCTTACAGTTCACACAATGTGCTCAAGGTCTCACGCGGGGGCCAGGGGTTGCCAGGATCTGTCTCAATAGAGAGAGTACTGTAACAATAGGGGATGCCCCAGGCTACAGCAACTGAGATCAAGGAGATATTTTTGATTAAATAAACTATATAAAAGTCTGCTTCAGGGGGCACCTGGGTGGCTCAGTCGTTAAGCGTCTGCCTTCGGCTCAGGTCATGATCCCAGGGTCCTGGGACTGAGCCCCGCATCGGGGTCCCTGCTCTGCAGGAAGCCTGCTTCTCCCTCTCCCACTCCCCCTGTTTGTGTTCCCTCTCTCGCTGTGTCTCTCTCTGTCAAATAAATAAATAAAACCTTAAAAAAAAAAAAAAGTCTGCTTCAGGATTTCATGCAAATACTACCCTCATTTTAAACATGGGTGAAAAAAATCACCCAAATTCAGGGTTAATTTAGCTGTCATCACATAGTTAGGAAGAAAACAATAACAACAAAAAACAGTCCCATTTTAAAAGTTTCATCAGTAGAGACACAAAGGTACTCAGGATTGAGACTCATCCTTCCTCATCACTGCTGCTCCATGCGTCTTCAAATGCTGGATTTAACTGTGACTTGGTTGTAGTCTAAAAAAGGGAGAAAAAAGGAAAATTTGATTTTTTTACCTCATAATTTTAGGTTCACAACAGTTATGAAATCTATCAAATGAAGAGCAATTACATTATTTTGAAAGTAACAATAAAATTGTTAATTCAAAACAAAAGTAATGTAACAAACACCCGACATACAATGTAAGGCAATGTAACTTCATTTTAAATAGACAAGCCAGAATTTATCCAAATTAACTATGTTTCCTTCAAAGTAATTACTTCACAAACACATACATAAATGCATGTACACACACACACACACACACACACACACACACACACACACTGAGCAGCTATTGTTTATGGCATTTCTGCAACTCTTTGGAATTATCTGGATAAGGCTGCACATTAACATCCATGTGGCTAAGACTGGACTCAGGTCTATAATCTGACCTGACAGCCCAAAATATTAATGTTGGCAACTTTTTATTGTTTGGATGGACCTGACTATAAATACGCAAATATCCATATATGGGGAATAAGGTGTTCATCAAACAGAATAACATCATTTTTGGTCCAAAAACTAATGTGAGTTATTAAGTAGTGAGGTTTATTTATTTTTTCATTGCTGGAAAAGCAGTTCCCAAGTACATGAAAAAATATGTCAAAACTGGTAACATGTTTGTCATTAGCTCAAAGGTTTTCCATGGAGATTTCTTTGAAAGATAATATGCACCTGGATGGTGTTTATTTAAAACAACAAAACATCACAATATTCTTACAACTTAAGAGCCCTATGTAATAAAAGTAATCAGCAACTAGAGGAATTTTAATTATCTGTGGCATTTCAAATCAATTCACTTTCTGAGGAAACTTTTTGGATGGCTACCTTCTTACTCTCTGGCAAATGATTAAAGGGCTTTAAGATGGTCTCATTGTTTTGAGTATCTGGTCATTCTGAGCCAGGTTTGCTTCTTATTCTGCAGCTTTTTCATCTATTACAAGTGTGTTCAGACCCCAAATCCAACAATGTATTAGCACCAAGACCACTCACATATAACCTTAGATACTGCCTTTTATAACATACAGCAATGTTTTATGTTAAGAGGAACCCCCGTGTCTAAGCATGTTTACTACCTTTTTTTTTGATATGATGACTTAGAATCTTAAAATTTAAACAATGATAACAGTAGAGAAAGTGTGAATTTCCAGTAAGTTCCCCAATATCACCCAGGATAGTTGGAAAAGGACATATTAATTTAAGTATTCCTTATGGCTATTAAAGCTATAGATCAGAATTTATTACTAAACCTAATGCCCGCTATTGGCACCATTATTAAACTTAATGCTGGCTATCATGACTCAGTTGTACAAACAAAAAATATATCTCAAATACTCAGATAAAAAACTATTACCAAACCTCAGCTAATTATTCAATTATTTCTAGCAGCAGTCCACTGATTTGCAATCAATGACTGTACCACACCTAAGTCTATTTTTTCATCCAAATGTTCACTGTACAGAATTGCTGCTGAATCACTATATGGCACACCTGAAACTAACACAACACTGTATGTTAACTATACTGGAATTAAAAAAAAAAAAAAAGCTGTAATGTCCTTGGGGGTTACGTGATTCCTCTCCCTTACTCTATCTTACTCTGCCTTAGATATCTCCCAAAAATGTCCCTGAGTGTGAATAAGCCACACAAAGGTCATGCCTCCTAATTCCACTATGGAAGCCCAATATGTAACCTATTAAACATTTAAATTTCATTTGAAGACTCAAGAGAGAAGCAAAATTATGATTTATTATAAATTATTGTTGCTACAGTGAGCAAAGAAACCAAAATAATTATGTGAAAATTGAAGTGAAATATTGATAAATTTTGATAAATACTATACAAATACTAATACGCAAATACTATAAACTTGACTGTTTATAGTAATATTTTCTTGCTAAAAAATCACAAATAAAACACACTTGTAATTAAAAGCTACTGTAAGAAGGTTGTATATAGATGTGGTACCCATATTACCGTTTGAGACCCAAAGATGAAGTGTAACTACCATCTACCATTTAAGTTTTCTCTATAACATCTCCTCCTAGTAGACATCCTTTTTATGCTTGAACCTCACCAGGTTGCCTGTTTTATTGAGAGACGGTTGTAAATGTTATGGAGCTAGAGAAGCATGATTTAGAAGGGATCTAGTCCAGGTCCAAATAATGGGAAGGAAGAACAAAACCAACCCTTACATCTACACGTATACATCTTGATGTATTCTAAATTCCTTACTGGTAATTACTGGAAAGTCTCTACAGGAGCAAAATAGGGCTGTTTGTGTCAGCAAATGATTACAGCTGACCCTGAACAACAGGGCTTTGAACTATGTGGATCCACTTATATGCAGATTTTTTTTGATAAATACAGTACAGTATTGTAAATGTATTTTCTCTTCCTTATGCTTTTCTTAGTAACATTTTCTTTTCTCTAGCTTACTTTATTGTAAAAATACAGTATATAATACATATACAGAATATATGTTAATTGACTGTTTATGTTATGGGTAAGGCTTCCTATCAATAGTAGGCTATTAGTGGTTAAGTTATGGAGGAGTCGAAAGTTACATAAGGATTTTTGATTGCATGGGGGTGGGTGCCAGCATCCCTGTTGTTTAAGGATCAACTGCACATATCTACCAAGTGGTAAATAAAACAGCTATGTATTGTGTGACTATCAAAATAAAGTAAGACTCTTGGTGAAAGGTCAGATTTAAACTACAATGTAGCTGCCGTATAGATCTCAGAAAGGAAAAAGTGATTAGGAGTTATATAGGCTTGCCTTAACCATGACCAAGTTTTAGGAAAAGAGGGCAAAAGGAAGGCAGAGTCCTCAAAATATAATAAAACAGCCTGCCAATTAAATACATAGATTTATGCTTAAAGACCATAAAACCTATCCCTATCACCCAGTGACTTTCAATTTCTTACAGTAGGACTAAATATCCCCTCTATCTTGGATATCAGAATACCGCTAAGGGATTATATCTTGGTTGATGGGGAAGTAAATCTCATCTCAAGGGTGGATTTGAAAAGAAACTGAAGAACAATTTTGCTTGATGATTCTGATATTAGGAGATACCATAAACTTGTCCTCAGTCCACAATAGATGTCAGAACAGGGATTCATACCCAGTTAACAGTATGGTTATTATTTAGTTTACCTGAAACTGAAGACTGAGTGTGTGTGCATGTATGTGCGTGTTTTGTTTTGAAGTGTGTTCCTGCACACTTCTGGGAAATTGCAGCATCACTTATTTGACAGCTGAGATAAAAACTTTTTTTTTTTTTTTTAAGATTTTATTTATCTGAGAGAGAGAGGGAGAGCGAAAGAGTGCATGCACAGGGCAGAGGGAGAGGGAGAAGCAGACTCCCTGAGCAGGGAGCCTGAAGCAGGGCTCGATCCCAGGAACCCGGGATCATGACCTGAGCCGAAGGCTTAACTGACATCCAGGTGCCCCTAAAAACACTTTTAAATGTGCGTTAAATAGTAAATATACATGTAAGGAGTAGGGTCTGGTGCAGACAGACTTCTCCTCTCGGATCTATAACATGATCACATTCATGTTCTACCTACATTCAAAGGAATATTTCAAACTAAAATTTTGTGAAAATAATTTTAGTCCATACCATTTTATGAGAATGATGGCTATCTTAAAGCATATAAACACTATATTTTAAAAGATAAGGCTTTATAGCTCTAAAACTTAAATATAAAGCTAACTTGTTTTTTGCACATCTCTATTTGCTTTTCTACTTGTTCGGTTTAGTTTCCCACATGCAAAAATTCTTCTAGATGAGGAAATTATCACTATAACTATAATCACTATTAAATTGTATAAATAAAACATCAGAGTCGTCACAGACTATCTTTATAAATTAAGCAATTTAGTTTTCTTCTAATATCCTTTCTCCATATGTAAGTCATAGATTTAATTTATTTTTATTGTTTTCATTTGGTAAGTGATTGTTATACTTCCTAACATAGCCTCAAGTGGTCTTTTCTGTTTTTTGTTTTTTGGGTTTTTTTCATAGTGTTTTAACTTAGATTTATTGCATACCGTAATTCCTAAAAGGCAGGACACAGTAATTATATAATGCAAAATAAATGCCTGAGCCAAAGTATTTGACCATACTAAGCTTTCTACAGAGGAGGCACCTGAGTGGCTCAGTCGTTAAGCGTCTGCCTTCGGCTCAGGTCATGATCCCAGGGTCCTGGAATTGAGCCCCACATCAGGCTCCCTGCTCAGCGGGAAGCCTGCTTCTCTCTCTCCCACTCTCCCTGTTTGTGTTCCCTCTCTCACTGTGTCTCTCTCTGTCAAATAAATAAATAAAACCTTTAAAAAAAATAATATTCAGTCATTTAAAGCAGCTGTACACCAAAACTAATCAAAGCCATAATAAACTAGATATGTGATGAAATCTGAAAATATTCATACAGTAGTTGGCCAGCTGCTTGAAGATTTACCATTACATGTTTTCTCTATTTTATTTGGATTAGGGCCAAAAGAAAATAAGTCACAGGCTTTACACTGCAGTAAGCCAGAGCAGTTGCAAATCTAGGCATGAAATAGATTTTGCCAATAGCTGCTAAATGGTATCAACCACCCCCATGAAAACTCATTTCCATGTGGTTTTGGACTTTTTTTTCACAAAGGAACTAAATATGTTGAAAATATTTTTAGAATTTTAAACTTGTTCTACCAATACTTTTCCTCTCCATTGAAGATGATTTATTTTTATACTAAGACGAGTAAGATTAACTCAAGGTGTTTCTAACTGCGTTATTTATATTTCCAACTTTAAAAAATTATATACATAAATATTGGTTTTTAGACATTTGACTTTTTATATCCTAGAAATTAAGATAAATAGGGATGATTAACAGTGGTTAGTAAAATAATCTTTGGTGGGGGTCACCTGGGTGGCTCAGTCATTAAGTGTCTGCCTTCAGCTCAGGTCATGATGCCAGGGTCTTGGGATGCAGCCCCGCATCAGGCTCCCTGCTCAGTGGGAAGCCTGCTTCTCCCTCTCCCACTCCCCCTGCTTGTGTTCCCTCTCTGTCTCTCTCTCTGTCAAATAAATAAATACAATCTTAAAAAAAACATCTTTGGTGAGAAAGATAGCACCTTTAGACAGTGTAACACAGAAGTAAAAATATACAGAGGCCACTACTTAAGTCCAGGGGGCATGTCTTATTCATCTTTGTTTACCACATTTTTTTAAGGGTCTTTATTCCCATGGCCATTGGTTATATTTGTATCAATTTATGTCTAAGATACTAACAGGTGCTTGGGTGGCTCAGTTGGTTAAGCGGCTGCCTTCGGCTCAGATCATAATCCCAGGGTCCTGGGATCGAGTCCCACATGGGGCTCCTTTCTCAGTGGGGAGTCTACTTCTCCCTCTCCTTCATGCTCTCTTTCTCTCAAATAAATAAATAAAATCTTAAAAAAAAACCAGACACTAACAGACTGCTGATAGAGGAGTATAAATTGGTAAAATTCAAGTGTGTGAATAAAAAACCTTAAAAATGTCATACATGGTAACTCAGATAAAATCTACTTCTAGGAATCTATCCAAATAAGCAATCAGAAATATAAACAAATTATAAACAGTTACCTTGATTTGTTTATAGTGATCAAAAGATATCTCTCCAAATAGGTAAATATTTAAGTAAATTGTGATATATAAATAACAGCATGCTGTTATTAAAAACAAATTTACAAATAGTTATTAATGACAGGAAAGAAGGTTTATTATTAAGTTAGTAAAGTAGGATGCCAAGTTGTGTGTCCAAGCATATTAACTATGTTTAAACAACCATATATGCATAGGAAAAAGCAAGAATGAAGTAAATGAAAGTGTTAATAGTAATTCAACTTTAGAAATTTAAGTTGTTCTTTCAATATTTTTCTGGATTTTCCAAAAGTGTTATAACAAGCAAACTATTTTCACAATCTGAAAATAGCCAGACATGCTTTCAAAGTCTCTCTCATGGGGCGCATGGGTGGCTCAGATGGTTAACCGTCTGCCTTCAGTGCAAGTCATGATCTCCAGGTCCTGGGATAAAGCCCTGCATCAGGGTCCCTGCTCAGTGGGGAGTCTGCTTCTCCCTCTCCCTCCACCTCCCCCGCCCCCCCGCTCGTGCTCTATCAAATGAATAAATAAAATCTTAAAAACAAAGTCTCTCTCACCTGAAATAAATTAATAAAACTATTTTTTTTTCTTTTTTTAAGATCTTATTCATTTATTTGACAGAGAGACACAGCGAGAGAGGGAACACAAGCAGGGGGAGTGGGAGAGAAAGCCCAATGTGGGGCTTGATCCCAGGACCCTGGGATCATGACCTGAGCCCAAGGCAGACGCTTAACGACTGAGCCACTCAGGAGCCCCTAAAACTATTTTCTTTACAATTTAAAAGTCACTGTATAATTTGTGTAAATAATATTTACCTCATCATCATCAGGAACTGGTTCAGATAAGGATGGTACCCAAGCAAGTATATTGCAGTCTCTGCTACCACTATAAAGTTCCTGTAACACAGAATATAAAGATATAATTGTGGGTCAGTTAAAAGCTGGTGCCAATTTGAAATGAATACATCATTTAAAGGACTAATTTTTAGGTTAGATCAATTAGATTAATTCTATTTCTACTCCCCAAAGACACCGAGCTGATGTCTTTTGTTTGCTTAAGATGAGTAAAGCTTTGTTTTATATTTTAAAATATCATTAGGATATGTCAGAGCTTGCTAACCTGAAAATTTTACAAAAAGATTGAACAACCTAGTGGTTTTTTATCAATCATAATATCCATTTATTGCAAGTGTCAGAGTAGAAAAAGAAAAAAAAAAGATGGAATCAAGAGTCTGTCCTTCTCTGTCAATAACTGAGTTTTAAGAAAGACATCAATAATAAAACCTTATGAGTTCTAGCTAAAATAGGCCAGAACTTCATAAAAAATATTATTTAGCTCACAGCTGCCTAACTGGTTGTTATTCAACAGAAGAGCTTTTAGATCCATATGCTATGCTTAGTGAGAAGTTTATTTAATAAGGGGAAGCTTGGGCTGATGCGCAGTCTATGTCAACATCTTTATGAATATGCTGTTTACACATAGCTGAACAATGTTCATTTCCGTCCCCAACAAAACTTAAGGAATATGTTATATTGTCTAGTACTAAAAACATTCCTATGAAGCAGTGAAATAGATACTCTCATATAAAAAAGGTATAAATTGGTATAATCTATGCAGAATAGAATCTCAATACATGTCAAAAGTTTTTGTATGCGTTTCTGAGAAGTCATGCCAAAGACATGTATGAAATTCAAGGATATCAGCATTATATTTAAAATAACAAAATATGGAAATAATTGTCCAAAAGTAGGGTAATGATTTATATATAAATGTATGTTGCATTCATAGTATGGGATGTCATATAATCATTAAATTTGTTTTTTAAGAGTGTTTAATGACATGGGGAATACTCAATATCAAGAGAAAAGAGAAGGGTATCAACCACAGAGTCATCCTGTGAAGGAAAAAAGCAAGATGTAAAACATGAGGCCAAATAAAAAAAAAAGAAAAAGCTATGTAAAGGAAAAAGGTCTAAAAAGAAAAAACAGCAAAACGATAAGCAGCTGTAAAACTATGAATGACTAAGTGGTTTTTTTCTAAACAAATTTATTTCTGTATTTCTACACAAACATTTTATTTTTCAACATGTTCAACATGGGCTTGAACTCACAACCCTGAGATCAAGACCTGAGCTGAGATGAAGAGTCAGACGCTTAACCGACTGAGCCACCTAGGCACCCCCAAACGTTTCTAATAGTGAAGTTTTTTCCTGCTCTGCTATGCAATTATTTATTTTCAACACTGTTCATCTCAAAAAGCTTGAAGTATGGTACAATTAGTATTTTTCTAAAAAAAAAATAAAGGTTCTAGATAAAGGGAAATTAAGATTATGAAGTTATTTATAGGAAATATAGATGTAAAAATATTTTTTTAAGATTTTATTTATTTATTTGACAGAGAGAGACACAGCGAGAGAGGGAACACAAGCGGGGGAGTGGGAGAGGGAGAAGCAGGCTTCCCGCTGAGCAGGGAGCCTGATGCGGGGCTCGATCCCAGGACCCTGGGATCATGACCTGAGCCGAAGGAAGACGCTTAATGACTGAGCCACCAGGCACCCCAAGATGTAAAAATATTAAAGTAAATTTGATTTAGTTATACATTATCAGACTTCCTGAAGGGAACAAAATTCTACAGACTGTATTGTTTAACCTTGAATATATAGTTACACTAACTGTGGATGATGCAAAGATATTTTCAAATGTTTAGTGCCTTGAAGAATTTAATTTCCTGAGAATATAAACACACACACACACACACACACCCCTCCAAGATAACTTGGTCAGATAAGCTTATAAGGCAATTTTGGTTAAGTACTGCCACACTGATGAGACAAAGGAAATTCTATAAGATGTTCAAGAAAGCTTATAGGAGACAACACTTAAATTAGAATGAGTAATAAGGACTTCAGGTAAAGGGAGGGATTTGAATTGAGTGTTAAAGTTTTTGGGATAAGTTTAGGTGTTCCTTTGGGAAATTAGATTAAAAAAATCTCAACATAAGAGACTAAGTTGACAACATGAGTCCTATCACTCATGAATGTTTAGTGTATTGTTTCCTTTGAACAAGGACACTCTCCTACAATTACAGTGCATCTAACAAAATCAAAAAATTCACAATGATATATTACTGCCAGCTAATTTAGACTCCAAGTTTCACCAATTGTCTGAATAAATGTCCTTTATAGCAAAAGGGTCCAGATTAAAATCATATGCTGCACTTGGTTCTCATGTCTCCTAACTTTCCTTCAATTTGGAACTGTTCTTTAGTCTGCCCTTGGCCCTCCTGACCTTGACAGTTTTGAAGATACACACCAGTTATTTTGTAGAATGCCCTTCAAATTTTTTGTTTCCTCGTGATTAAATTGAGGTGATGCATCTTTGCCAGGACTATCACTGAAGGAATACTATGTAATTGGGATGTTAACTTTGATCATTTGATTAAGGTGATGCATGCCAGGCTTCTTCAAGGTAAAATTACACATTTTACCTTTGTAATTAATATTTTGTAGGGAGGTACTTTGGGATTATGTAAATATCCCACTCCTCATTAGACTTCCAATTTATTAGTTTACTTTCTTATATCTGAATGGATTCATGGACCCTTATTTAGTCAATGTGTTATAACCCAGTATTATCATTATTTATTTTGATGTTAGGTAGATCTTGTTAGATTTTTATAGTTATGATAGAAATACTATAAATATCAATTTGTTTTCAGATTGTAAATTCTGTGTAATATATAATTTGAAAAAGGGTTCTACTGCATGCAAAGTACTACCCTATTTCGCTTTTGAGACTTAGAATTATTTTCCTTATCAAAAATCATAATGGATATAATGGGATAAGAGCCGGAAGCTGTCTGATGTAGTGCAGTGATTCAAATCTGCGTAAGTAGCACCTAGAGAAGTGGGATTAGTCAGGAGGCAACTGGCCTAGGTTTCTGGCTGTGACCGGCTTGTCTCAGCTATTCCAAGGGCTGATGGGAACCAGTATCTTGGCACACTTTTAATCTATTCTAGGCACATGTGTTAGGAATTCTGATTTGGTAGAAAGCAATAATTTATAGTCAGGATATCTGGTTTAAAATCTTGGCTGTGTCTCTGAGTGACTCTGCATAAGAAAAGAGGTACAGTATTCCAAGAATTTCTTTGAATAGATAACCGTGCTCTGTGAATAACTACTTGCAGGTTTGAGGCAAGGCAAAGTGGTGTTTTAGTCTTCTTCTCCCAGAAGTAATACCAAAAATATTTAACAACTAGTATATCAGGATACTGACCAATCAGCAGACATAATAGCCATAGAGTGGGTGCAGGATCCTGATGGTCCCTCTGAGGTGCTATGTTAAGGTATAAACTAGGAGGCCTCAGGAAAGGGGGTAAAGCTAGAGGTCTCTTACGGGGCTTGGTGCCTTAGCTATTTAACAAATAAAATATGTATTTGAATATTTTAATAATGGCTATTGCCATACAGATGTGGTGGTGGCTGAAAAATAAGCACTGTATATCTTACTGTAGTATCAGACACAAATTAAGTAATTAGCATTAATGAATAAATGATGAACAACTTTACCAGGTGATGAAGTCCTTCCTAGCTCTAATAATCCATAATTTTCATCCTATCAGTATTTAATGCTCATGAGCCTCATTTTCTTTACCTACAAAATACGGAAAATACCAACAGTCTTGCTATATTAGAGACTCATTTAAAGGAACACATGAGGTAATCTGTGCCAATATTCTCTGAAAAAAATCATCTGCTCTGTTGGTAAGATGAAAGAGAAAGGTCAGGATGTTAAAAAACAAAAGCCGTATTTAAGAAATCGTGTAAGCTGCATCAACTCAAAAGTAAATGATTAGCCACTGACAGGAAATAAAGAAGAAATAAAATCTGAGACATATATATAAATGAAGATACAAAAACTGTATTTTGAGATTAGACACAGTGTTCCACCTTTTCCCAAAAGATTGATTGCAAGACATTATTTTAATTTACTAGAGATTTCATCTGGTAAATAAGTGGAGCCCAAATGCAGAAGAATTTATCTCAGTCAAGTTGCACAGTATTATATTGATTCATACAAATATCCTATACTATCTAAAACTGTATCCTGTATAATCCTCTATTAAAGAAACCCTAGCTTAAATGTGGATTACAAGTGTAATTCCTCAGACTGACATCACAATTTATTCTTTTGTATACAAAACTAGTCTGGCAAGCTAGCTACCTGAACATTTTAAATTCCCTTAAGGATCATTCTTACCTGGAAATTAGACCGGAATACACAGCAGTCAACACTTTTATAATGTCCCTTAAGCATAGTTATCTGTTCTCCTGAGTAAATTGTATAAACAGCAATGGTGCTACCATATGGTACAAAAACAAACTCTGCACTGCAGCCATAGGATACTGTGAATTTCAATCCTTTTCTGCTGTCATTACAAACTTTTCCATAGTTGACCTGCAGGATGTAAAATAATAACATTACTCATTTCTTAAATCTGAATTAAAAAGACAACAAAGACTAGAAGAAATATTTACTTAAAATATTATAACATACTATGGAAAGGGCTGTAACAAATCTAAAGAAAATGATCAAGGTCCTAACAGAAAGAAACAAGGGCCAATGACATAAATATATGTTTCACATAAGATGAAAACACAAATAGTAAAAAAAATCCACAAAAGCAAATGTTTACATTTAAGCCAGGCTAGAAATAAAAGGCAAATTAAGGCAACCTTAAATAATCATTTTAGACCACTTAGCAAAAAATTTCAAGAAACCTTGAGACAGTGAATACTGTTACAAGTGAGGTAACATGTTGGTGGCACTGTAACTTGGTCATTGCTTCTAAAAGGCCAAATGATTTATTATGCAACAAAATACAAAGATGTTCTTTTTTTAGGGGGGAGGGAATAATTCTTTTTATTTTAAAACATTTTTAATTGTGGGGCGCCTGGGTGGCTCAGTCGTTAAGCGCCTGCCTTCAGCTCAGGTCATGATCCCAGGGTCCTGGGATTGAGCCCCGCATCAGGCTCCCTGCTCTGCAGGAAGCCTGCTTTTCCCTCTCCCACTCTCCCTGCTTGTGTTCCCTCGCTGTGTCTTTCTCTGTCAAATAAATAAATAAAATAAAACATTTTTAATTGTGGCAAAATAGACACAGCATAAAATCTGCCATCTTAACTGTATTTAAATGTACAGTTAAGTGACATTACATTCACATTGTTGTGCAACCTTCATCATCCTCAATCTCCAGAACTCTTTTCATCCTGCAAAACTGAAACTTTGTACCCATTACACAAGAAAGTTATTCTTACTCCTTGACCTAGTAATCACTCCTGGGAATTTAGCTTAGGGAAATAATTAAACAGCAAAAAGCTATATGCCCAGAGGAATTCAATGCAGCATTATCTAGAATGGCAAAATAACTAAAAATAGATGTAAATCCCTAATAATTTTATAACTCTACAGCTTATATAGTAATTAAAAATCATTAATTATGAAAATTATGCAGGAAATAAGGATAAAAACTAAGTATAAAAAAGCACAGAACACAAGTAGTGTGTATACAACTGCAACTTTCTATAATTACATATTTAGGACAAAAATAAAAATTCTGCACCTGTATGTCAAAGGTGCGAGCCCAACATCAGCATCTCCTCTGCAGTTTGAAAAGGAAAATTCCAGGTCTTATCCCAATCCCACTGAACAAGAATCTTCATTTTAATAAAATACCTAGGTGATCTAAAGGCTCATCAATGTCTGAGAAGCTTTGGGCAAAAGAAATTGATAGTGCTGAAATTATTCTGCTGATAATTTAGATTAAGCAGTTTAGGGCAGGTGTAAAACCAGTAGCTAAACATTTGAGAATTATCACAGGAAGATCACCAAAGACTCCAAATGCTATGGCTAACGCTAGAATTTAGACAGACAGTGATTTACCTTTTTGTCTTTTTATAAAGGTCAGTTGGAAGAGTGTGTGTATATATATTTGTAAATATATATAAACAGGGGTGCCTGGGTGGCTCAGTTGATTAAGCACCCGACTCTTGATTTTGGCTCAGGTCATGATCTCAGTGTTGTGAGATCAAGCCCTGTGTTGGGCTCTGCGCTGAGCAGAGTCTGCTTGAGAGTCTCTCTCTCCCTCTCCCCGTTTGCGTTCTCTCTCTAAAATAAATAAATAAAATCTTTAAAATAAATAAATAAATATAAACAAACAAACACTGAGGACCAAATGGATATATGCTGATCATCTGGGTTCACTACACTTGCCTTACTCCCCCTTCGGGTTAACATGTGACAGAAATGAGTGTATGCATTCAGTTATCCCACTGCAGCAGTGGTAGAACGAAACATTAAAATATTACACTTAAATTCGGTAGACTTGGTTTGTAGAAACCCACTCCACTTCCCACCCAACTTTTTCTTTTCTTTTGCCTCTTATGAGTAATGAATGACTTAGCCTCTGAGTTTCATTATTCTAATCTGTTAAATAGAAATAGGATCATTTACCAGAGTTATTATGAAAAAAATCAGATGAAATAATGCACATGAGAGACCTAGAACATAAAGGTATCCAGTAAGTCCCTAGATTTATTAATTCCCATATATATTTAAAAGTGTAATTCATTTGCATCTTCTGATCCTGTATGTGTAACTATTTGTGGAATGACGGTGGGGAAGGAGAATGGAGAAAAAACACACATCTGAACTAGAAATTCTCTGCTCTTGCTAGAAAAATTTTGAACTGCTAGACTGTGATGGCCTTATTCACATTTATCAGAGGACCTAGCTATAAGGTCTGAGTTCTTTCCACTCTACCACATTCTTTCCCAAATATGAACTGGAAAGTATTAAATGAGGTATGAATATTGAACTAGCTCTTCTTGTCTTCGTCCTTAGGCATCCCCACTCCATCCTGCAACTTACAATCCTATTAATCTTTGTAAATCACTGCTGTGATCAAATCATTTGTGGACTCAAAATCATAAGTATCTTTTCAATACCTATGGAATAAAATTCTAATAACGGATTAAGGAGAGGAATGATCTACCATTCACTAATGCTCACTATGTGTCATACATTATACTAGCTGATTGTCTAAGGTTCCCATTTTATGACTATGGATGCTTACCAATGTATAATAAATAACATGATGTATATTATTATGAAAGTACTATAGAAGAGAGGCTACTTTTGGCTATGATGTCTTGAAGGTGGTATGTATAGGCTTTGAAAAGATTTTGATAGTGGAGGAAGATACGGGACTTTGGATAATGATGATGGCAAATCCAACTCCCTATCCCTTTTACTGTTCTAGGAAATATATACATCTAGTCATTAAATGAATACCTATAGTGACACAGAGATTCCATCACAAGGCAGCTTATTTTATTGTAAACAATGACCAGCATAATGATAATAATGACAGGTAATATTTACTGAATGCCAACATTTGCTGTAAATATCAGACAATGTACTTAATGTTTTACACATGTTATTTCATGTAATACTCAAAACTACTATGAGATAGCATTATTACACAAAAAGAAAACATTTAGAAAGGTTAACTATTTTGATCAAGATTTTTGGGATAACAAATGACAGAATCAGAAACTAAATCTAGACTGTACTAATCAAAAACCACTATGTCACACTGTTGTAAATTATTTTTCCTTCATCCCATGAAGTGATCACAGTACATTCTACTACAAGTGAGCACTGGGTACTTGGAAGCATCTAAGCTAGATGAGAGGAGTTACAGAGAGGTTGTGTCTGAGATGAACCTTGAAAGTGAGGAGAAGCTAGGACAGGAAGAACACTATTCCAAAGCAAAGGCAGGAGTCTGTGCCTCAGAATGGAAGGGCAAGAGAGCAAGGTATTTTTAAAGACCTCTAAGTAGTTCAGTAACGACAGAGAAAAATATGGGAAAGTGGCAAGACCTAAAGCTGGTAAGTTAGAAGATATAACTTATGAAGTCTTTGTGCTCAACAGGCAAAAGCATGCGGTTTTAATAACCTAGAAGTATTGTGGAAACAGTGAAAGACTTTTACGGGGAGATAAGTTTGGGAAAAGTTAGAAGAATGTTATAGTAATTAACTAGAGAGATCATGAGGACCCAGAGTGAAGCTGGAAGGGAAGAAAGATACGAAAAAACTAAGAAGGAAGAATTAAGAGGATGCGTAATTGATTTCATACATGGGACAAGGGGCAGGGAAGAATAAAGGATAGACTTCCAATTTCTAGACATTGGTCATAGTGAATTGTAATACCAGTAACTTAAACAGTCAACACCAGAAGAGCTATTATGAATTTTTTGTTCTTTTGTTGTACCAAAAGCTGTCTCTCTGTGTATTTTCCCTGCAACTACTTGTTCTGTTCTCTAAGGCAACCTCAAGGAGCCTCCAAGATAATCCATTAAGGTGTGAGAAGAAAACATGAAAAGTTCTATTTTTAATCTCATTTTTATTTAAAAAATAAGAAATTAACCTTTGATTAAACAGAGGTTCACAACAGTATTTGTATGTAACATAAACAATTATACACCTATTAGAAGCATGCACTTATACATCTTTTTAATATTTATTTTATTTTTAATATTCCAAGTAAAAATTTATTGACATCCTAAGAATCCTTACACATTTGGGGCGCCTGGGTGGCTCAGTTGGTTAAACTACTGCCTTCGGCTCAGGTGATCCTGGAGTCCCGGGATCGAGTCCCACATCGGGCTCCCTGCTGAGCGGGGAGTCTGCTTCTCCCTCTGACCCTCCCCCCTCTCGTTCTCTCTCTCTCTCTCTCTCAAATAAATAAAAATAAAATTAAAAAAAAAAAGAATCCTTACACATTTAATTCTGCTTCTAATTTATCACAGGAATTACTTCTCCAATATGTTAATCACAGCTGGATTGAAAGAGTGTTTGGGAAATGTGGCAATGTTGTTTTTATAAATATACCACATTACAAAACAACAAGCAGCAAAAGCTACTGAGGTAGGTCCAGAACCTTTAGTCAGAATGGGGAGGAGGAAGAGAAGTATCTCTGAAGAAGCAGAATATCTAATTCCCAGATCAAAAGTAAAGAAAATTACCCAAAGACAACATTAAAAAATAAGCTTCAGAAGTTTCCAAAGAAAACAAATATATTTACAACTTTAAGGTTAGGATTAGATAAAGTTTTCTTATTTAACTATGTCTTTTTTCTTGATATTTATTTTTAAGATCTAGAAGTTTCTACTGAAGAGGAAAAAGAGATGTAAAGATGAATCCCTCTTAAAAGCAAAAAGGAAGCATTAGAAAACACATAAAGAGAAGCATAAAATGGGAGAAGTGGCTATACCACAGAGTACTATCAAAGTAAGTCGATGGTACAAATTCTATTGTTGCCAATGGACACAATCCATATACATCTGAGCCTGGGTGGCTCAGTCAGTTAAGTGTCTGCCTTTGGCTCAGCTCATGGTCTCAGGGTCCTGGGATGGAGCCCTGTGTCAGGAGCCTGCTTCTCCTTCTCCCTCTGCACCAATCCCCCCCAGCTCCCGTTCATGCTTGCTCGCTCTCTCTCATGCTTACTCTATCACAAATAAAAAAATAAAAGAAAAGAAAAGAAACTAACAAGGGTACTACCAAAAAGGCAACATCACACAATAAAAATAGTTATTTATGGTATACCTATTACTTAACAGATATTTATTTACTACTCTTTTCATATTTCAATTTTATCCTTAAAATTACTGTTTATGTACATAATAACCCCAATTTACAAGACAGAGACACTAAAACTCTGACCATAGTCCTTCATAAGGTCACCTTAAATAAACTGACTAATGTCCCATATTACTAAATGGCAGGACTGGATTCAGTTTCCAATTCTGTCTGACAGCACTTTAATACTTGAAGACAGTGTGTTTCCACCGAGAGTTACTTTTCCTAGGATTGATGTCCCCAGTTCTTTTAAGTGTCCGCTGGAGGCGAGTTTCTGGGCTATTCTAGTCCCCTCTGCATGAATGACTACTTAGATCAAGTCAATTTCAAAAGGTATTATCCATTCTAAACACACTATTCAAGAAGTAGACTTACTACTAGCAAAAACCCTTAAGGCATGAGTATCACCTTCAAGAAGGAGAGAAAAATCTAATAAAATCACACTAACAATTTATATATATAGTCAGTACCCTTTATACTTATCACATTCACCTTTGATGCACATGCCAACCCACCTTTCCCAAGTGATCCCATCACATCACCACTCAAAGGCCTTTAGTGGCTTTCCATTTCACCCAGAGAAAAAGCCTAAGCCCTTACAAAGGCCTACAAGCCTATATCCTCTGGTGTCTGGTTCCTTCTGTTCCTCATCTCCTAGTACTCTCCCCCTTGCTTCCTCTATTTCAACACAAGAGCCTCTTAGATGTTCCCTGGGTATTCCAAGCATGCTGCTGCCTCAAGGTCTTTCTACTTTCTTCCTTCCTCTGCCTGGAATGCTTGCCTTCCCAGATATCTGATGGCTCATTTCATTTCCTTCAGGCCAAATATCGTCTTCTGAGTGAAACATACCCTGACTGCCCTATGTAAAACTGCAACTCCAACTTCCCAATATTTTCTATGCTACTTTCCTTGCTTTGCTTTTCTTCAGAGCACTTGCTACATCTAAAATATATTTTATCCATCCATCTATTTCTTGACTGATGGATGGATGTCTTTCTTCCTCTCCCTAGAATGTAAGTTCCATGAGGATAGGACTTTTCCATGTTTTGTCTGGGGCTGTATAATAGTGTCTGGAAAACAGGATATGCCCAATAAATACTTATTAAATAAATGAATAAAATGAGAAAAGAAAGGTGTGACCTGATTAGAAACATGATACAAATATAATGAATGGAAGATTCTAAAGTAAAATTTGCAATGCCTGAGTTTCTAGTCTGAGATATGATGGAGAAACACTTCATAAAGTACATGAGAGATTAGCAAACTGTAATCTAGTATGAACAATTTTGACCTTATAGTAAAATTAAAATTTAAGAAAAGAAATGATATTTAGAGTATCTAGAAGAGAATTACTTAGAAAGGAGGTTAAAGAAATGAAGATGAAATGGGGCACCTGGCTGTCTCAGTCAGAAGGGCATGTGACTCTTGATCTAGGGGTTGTTGAGTTTGAGCCCTGTGCTGGGGGAAAAGGGTACTTAAATTAATAAATAATTAATATTAATAATCAATACCTACCCTAAAGCATTAAATAAATGCTATAAGGTGTTTGGTATAATCACCATTATGTCTCATTTCCTCATGTGTAAAATGGGTATTATAACAGTAACTACCTTCACAGTAGATTTGATGATTAAATAAGACCCTATATGTTTCAGTACACGTTTTATCTTAATTTTTATTAATACAGTATCTGACACATAAGCACTTAATAAATATTAGCTATTACTATTACCACCAAAATACAAACTTACTAGCTTATTCTGAAAGTTATTAAACCACAGGTACACCTGGTAAGGAGCATAACATAAATTTTTAAAAAGTGTTAGAAATTAAATACCACCTAAGAATCTAGCACATTTAAAACACATTTACTCCAGTATTAAAGTACCATATGTTCTGGTACTATAACATTCATCTTAGATTTTGTTTACAAGTCATATATAGTATAAAATTTGACTATAAGTTTAATTTATATCAGTTGTTCTCAATCTTTTATTCTTCTCCAATACACCTGAGAAATATGGCACACTCACATTATGCACAGTAGAGCAATAATTCTCCACAAGTGGGGAGAATGTGGTGGGGGCATGGTAGGGTGGGCTGTCCTGTGTTGAGAGTTATTAGTTCACTAATGGAAAAATATAAAAAGAAAACTGGAATACAGAGACAAGAAAAGAATTAAATCTACAGAAGGACACCAAGTGTATTTCACAGATCCATTTTTTAAATATATATTCAAAAGGTTAGAGGGGCACCTGGTTGGTTCAATCAGTAGAGCATGCAATTCTTGATCGCAGGGTTGTGAGTTCAAGCCCTACAATAGGTGTAGATTACTTAAAAAAAAAAAAAAAAGTTGGAGATATTTAAAATCTCTTACTAGTGTGTTTTCTCCATTGGAACTATTCCAGAGCCTCATTCGATTATCCGTACCAACAGTAAGGAGATGAAGCCCATCACTTGTAAAACATAAGCCATTAACTTTCCCATTATGAGCAGTGTTTGCTGCAATGAAAAATACAATTCAGTTAATCTACACACTAATGCTTGATGATACAGTTATTTAAACATATTAAAGGACAACTATCTGAATTACTTAAAATATACAAGTTGATTATATTTGGATTATTTGAATATCATAAGCTATATAAATTAGAACCATAAAAATGGAGAAAAACAGGAAAACTAAAGAGAAAGAAATCTTGCCAAATATAATTTTTCTTTAGAGTAAGCTGTGCTGTCCAACTCAATTAAATGCATGCCTAACACTAAATTTTTAAATTAAACACCTTCCAAATTTCTCATATACTATTTCCATTTTTAATCTAAAAATCATTCCATGGGACTATTAAAAATCAGTAATACTAGTATTTACTATTAAAAAAAAAACTTCAGATGCCTTAAACTTATGAGTAAGGAAAAAAAAAACTTCAGTAGGGAAAGAGTAAGTGTTCTAGTTTCATTCAAAATTTGTATTACTTTCAAAATGACCAAATTTGAGAAAGCATAATTCTCAAGAGCCTGATTAATTTAATTAAAAAAGATTATTAAAACAATCACAAAACTGTATATAGTTCATCCTAAGATTTTTCTGGTCCACAATTATCAGAATCTTATCCAATATAGAAATTAAATTCTAGGGGCACCTGGATGGCCCAGTCAGTTAAGTGTCTGACTCTTGATTTCATTCAGGTCATGATCTCAGGGTCCTGGGATGAAGCCCCACGTTGGGCTCTGCCCTCAGCTAGGAGTCTGCTTAGGATTCTCTCTCTCCTTCTCCCTCTGCCCAACGCCTGCTTGTAAATGCATGCATGCGCACTCTCTCTCTCAAGTAAGTAAATAAAATCTTAAAAAAAAAAGAAACTGAATTCTATTGGCAAAAAGCAATTGAGGTACTTTATCACCTGGATAGCAGCTGACACATTTAACACAATTTGCAAATTCTATTTTCATACAATGGCCACAAAATGTTACTATTCCTTTGATTTATTGTAGCTTCCTACACGGCAATGAATTTGTATTAGTTGACTTCACTGGAGGAAAAAAAGTAACAAATTAATTCAGAAAAGTTTCTGCATTTGAAAATTTAGGGGTAGATAAAATGTCATACTTCTTTGTACCTTGAAGAAAGACAACCATAATTTAGTTACGTACTTTTAGAAATCAATTTATTGTGAATGCCATTTTTTAAATCATAAAATTTGCAACTTGTCAATATACATTAATTACTTGGTTTCAATTAAAAATTTTCAATATAAAAAATACTATCATTGGCATATTTCTATATTAATGTATTCTTCATTACCTGATTCAACAGCTTGTGACTTTTTTCCATTATGCTGATCAACAGTAATTAAGCATCCTGATGCTCTTCTCACATCCCATAATTTTACTCTACTGTCAGCACTAAGAAGAAATAAATGTTACATTGACATATATAGCTAGGACAGTGACTGTACTCTTCACCTACCTTTCCAGTATTATGGCACACAGAAGTCTCAGTATATTAGTGCAAATGTATTTGTACATTTGGGTTGTTGAACTTTTGCCTTTTCATCAAATATTCAAAATCAGTAGTAGCAAAATGCAGTAAAAAAAATAGCCAAAAAAAAAGGGTAACTTTTTTAGATCACCAGAACAGAATTCTGCTGATTTTTATTTTGTTTTTAATGGTTCCTCTGCCAAAACTAGATAGTTTTGGAGCTTGTCCCTTAGCAAGTTTGTTACTACATCCTTTCTATTGTTTGTTATTCAAATGTTTTCTAGACAATCAAGCAGCTAACTAATTTTACTTTAAGAATTCATTTGGCATGAATTTGATGTTTTCTTTTTATATGAAAAAATTAAGGTGAATAATAAGGACAATATATTTATATTTGGTTTCCTATACTCAAATCAATCTTTACCAGATATACAAGAACTAACTGTAATGTCTCTTAGAAATCTGGCACTTATTTTTATTTTACCTCAAGTAAGTGAAAAGAATAAAGGCAAAAAACCATGATCACATTTCAATTTCAATTTCAACTGCTCCTAAAGAAAATATAAATCAGTTTAACTAATGCTATCATGTTCTCAAAAAAGACCTCAACAATATTCTAACAAATTGGGTTTATCCAGGCCCCTTTAATTAGAAAGAGCAATACAATGCACTTTATAAGCCTATTTCTAACTTATAAATCTTTTTTTTTTCATAGATACAGGGCTTACCTCTACCTATAGTCTTGATTCTTTTCACAGATCACCATCAAACCTAGCCAATTAGAATAGCAAGCAAAAAGCTAGCATTTCCCACTTTCAAAATGGTTTTCTTTCTTTCCAGCTGGGGAAAAAGTCTGCAATGAGATGAGTCTGAGGATTTAAGTACTTTCTGAAACAGATAAGATTTGGACTTACCTGATTACTAGCATTGATTACTAGGTCCATTCTCATAATGATTCAAATTCCTGTGGTACTCTGAGAACTGAAAGCCTCTTAGCTTCCCCATGGTTTGAGGAAAACCAAGTTAGGCATGAACAATATAAATTCGCCCTATCATGGACCCATAACCAGCACCTAGCTTTTCACCTTCACACCTCTTTAGGCAGCCTTCTGACAGCTATATTTGAGACTTGTTCTACTTCAGAAAGCATAGATCTCAGTATCACATTCTGTATACTATTAACAGAAGCTTCTCTGGGGACTAAACTGCTTGGCTCATGGTAGGCGGTCATCATTAAATATTATTAAATTGAATCAGGGATAAATGTTGAATCAGATTCAAAATAATCTGCATTAAAGAAAATGAATTGAAATGCTGCTGTTTTAAAATTCTTATACTTGGGTAGAAAAAAAATGACAACACAGTTTTAGCTAGTACTAGCAAATCTGCATTGCTACAGAGAGTCTCGTTCTCTGTTTTAAAAGGTGAGCAACTTCGGGCGCCTGGGTGGCTCAGATGGTTGAGCGTCTGCCTTCGGCTCAGGTCATGATCCCGGGGTCCTGGGATCGAGTCCCGCATCGGGCTCCCTGCTCCTTGGGAGCCTGCTTCTCCCTCTGCCTCTCTCTCTCTCTGTCTCTCACGAATAAAAAAAAAAAAAAAAAAAAAAAAGGTTTAAAAGGTGAGCAACTTCAAGATATGTAGTGATAGGACTTAAAAACACTAACTCAATTATTTAAAGGGCCTAATTAATAACTAAATATGCATCTTATAAAAAAGTATTTTCAAAATTTTTATCATTAATTATTAACTTCAAAACCAAATGATTTGCATGTTACCTTGCAGTTGCCAAGACATATTCACAACGTGGTGACCAGGAAACTGCCAGTATTTCTTGTCTGTGACCTGCAAATATAACTGTATGAAAAGTCTTGTAAAATACTTGAAAAATCAAAAGATACAGTGTAGTATGTCTGATTTTGAAGAAAGTGAAGACTAAATATGAAAAATAAATTGATGGGCGCCTGGGTGGCTCAGTCGTTAAGCGTCTGCCTTCAGCTCAGGTCATGATCCCAGGGTCCTGGGATCGAGTCCCACATCGGGCTCCCTGCTCAGCGGGAAGCCTGCTTCTCCCTCTCCCACTCCCCCTGCTTGCGTTCCTGCTCTCACTGTCTCTCTCTGTCAAATAAATAAATAAAATCTTTAAAAAATAAATAAATAAAAATAAATTGATATGATCATCACTTTTTCACATATATAATAATCTATGTTTAAATATTAATATGAAGTCTGTGGGGCATTTCTTACATGTTATCCCACTATAAATGGCCTGGTTTTGCATTGGAAAGAGCAAGTGAGTCTTTCTTTTTTAATACAGCTGTTAGATTAAAAAGTGAATCCACTGTTAAGTAATACAGCTTAAGCTCGTTTACTTGTATCTACCACAAAAAACCACTGCAACAAACCATACAAATTAAACATTCTAGAGAATAAAAATGGTTTCTAACTTTTCAGAAAGTTATAATAGAAATTTTTGTAAAATTCATAATTGTAGAAAGCATTTGGATAAAAATTTTTTTCTAGAAAGCACAGGTGATACGTTCACAGGATAATTGACTTCAGCATTTTAATTCACTTTTGCCTAAATGAACTATTCAAAGTAGATATTTTCATCTACCTAACTTACATTATTAGAGATTCATGACAATGTAAAACAAATGCTATCCATTTCACCAAGTTCTCTTGATATATTATGTGTTTCTCAGGGATGAATAAAAATGTAAATTTCTGAATTACAAGCCATCTTTCCATTGTTTAGAATCGATGGTCTAATAGTGATAACAAAGTAGCAAAAATATTCAAATTAATATATCTTAACCAAAATATTATTTTAATAGCTTTTTCTAAAATATTTGCATTCAGGAAAAAAAAGCACCTAAATATTAAGAATGTTTACTTAGCCAGAACAATACTAAACAATGCTCATAAGACAAATGTACCAATGTAAGTTTCATAAATAATTTTTTTTTTAAATGTAGAAATAAGGTAAGGTTTTCAGCTAGACTTTCCATATCTTTTGAGTTTACCCTATGGCTATTGTTTATATAAATGTCTCCTCAATAGTTCAGTTTTATAAGAATAATGCACAGAAGGATCTTTATTTCCCTGTTGACTTTTAACAACTAGCACAAAATACATCAGTCATGTCAGTTACAAAGAATACATTGTTAGTAATGTTTCTTTTTATTGAATGGTTTACTCAAAGTAGTTGTTGTTTCAAATAAAAAAAAAAATACCCTGTAAAATGTGGGAACAGGATCCAGACTTTAAGTCACAAAGTTGTACTTTGGGCCCTCTAGTACCAACTGTAAAAACAAAAACAAAAATGGGTTAAGATAATTTTATTATAAATCATCACCAAAAGGAAACAAGAAACTACCATTATGAATCATGATATCTTCTCTGCATCTACACAGAAATATAAAAAAAGTATGCCAAAAATATACTTCAAATCTTTTTTAATGTTTATAATTAGCAAATGTAATTGCAGTTATACCTTAGTACTAAGAGAGCTCTATTATTGCATTATGTTCTAATGTTTAATTTTGAAATAATTATAGATTCAGAGAAAGTTGCAAAGATAGGACAGAGAGACCTTGTGTACCCTTTACCCACGTTGTCCCAACCACTGTTATGTTAGGTAACTATACCAGAGTATCAAAACCAGGAAATCTGCATTGCTACAATTCTATGCTATTTTATTATATCAAATAATTTTACTTAATGCCTCAAACTTTCCATATTAATGATATACTTCCAGAGACTCTGGACACAGACTGAGTGGACCTCGAGGACAAGCTAGTGCCCAGCTCTTTTCTGCAGACGATGCAGCTGACTGGTATCTGCAGGTGAAGATGTTCATGCAGTGCCAAACAAATAATGGAATCCTAGGGACCTGATACCAGATACCAGAAAAGCATTTTTTCTTCCTCACACATGAAAATTCTTGTTGTAGGTGCTTTCATAAAAATGGATGTTTAATTTGAATAACACAATCTTAGAGAAAAGAAAATAATTTCAATTTTTTTATTATGTTGAATCGAAAAAGTTGCCAAATTTTGTTCATGTAAAATCTTTGAAACTTTGGTGGTTGAAAATTAACTCCTTAGGGAACAGAAATGTGCTTTCTTAATCTTTGAATTCTAGCCACTAGCACAGTGCCCGACCTGCACAATACCAATAAAATTGAATGTCAATAGAACATATACTTGAGTTTGTTTTTTTTTTTAAATCGTGATATTCATCTGGGTTGAAATGTCTATATCAAAACTAGGTATTAAAAGGGAGCGAGTTTCAATACGGTAAAAAGCAAGAGTACACGTACAAACCTGCTACCAAACAGTGCTTGGTGGCGACTGGAGACATATGATGACTATAAATGGTTTCTTCAAAACTAAATACATCTGCAGTCTAATAATCAAAAGACATTTAAAAATTGTAAGTTCTAATTATAGTCACAAAAGCTGTAAACATTCTATTTACTTATTTCCACACTGTTACCAATTTTTGAATGACTGTTAGCAATTTATTTGACTTACACATAGGAATGTGAATTGTGTAAGACTGGTGAATCACAGACCTGTACCTCTGAAACAAATAATACATTATATGTTTAAAAAAAGAAAAATAGAAGATAGCAGAAAGGGAAAAATGAAAGGGGGGAACTCGGAGGGGGAGACGAACCATGAGAGACTATGGACTCTGAGAAGCAAACTGAGGGTTTTAGAGGGGAGGGGGGTAGAGGGATGGGTTAGCCAGGTGATGGGTATTAAGGGGGGCACGTTCTGCACGGAGCACTGGGTGTTATATGCAAACAATGAATCATGGAACACTACATCAAAAACTAATGATGTAATGTATGGTGATTAACATAATAAAATAAAATTTAAAAAAAAGGAACGTGATACCCTCAAAAACCTGTTAATTTTAACTCCTATGCTATTGGGGTGCCTGGGTGGTTCAGTAGGTTAAGTGTCTGCTTTTGGCTCAGATCCTGATCCCAGGATCCTGGAATCCAGTCCCCCAATGGGCTCCCTGCTCCATGAGGAGCCTGCTTCTCCCTCTGCCTCTGCCTCTCTCTCTCATGAATAAATAAAATCTTTTAAAAAAATAAATCCTAAGTTATTTATTACACTCTGTCCCTTTTGTGAGAGGAACAGCTTTTCTCTAATAAATTCAAGAGATGAAGAAAAGACAACCACCTGGCTCACCATCTTCCTCTCCACTCCAGTCTGGAGAACTTCATCATCTACACAGGTGATCTAGCTAGTGCTCTGCCTCTCGGTCCCATTCAACCTTAGCTACCATATCACAGCACTCTCATCACCTACCCTCACTCTTCCTTCAAAATTATACGTTTCACATATGTAATGTATGACCACAGTCTTCTACCATTTTCAGCTTAGTTTTTCCCAACTACTTCCAAGACATCCGAATAAAACCCGAAACTCCTATCAGTTCCTCCTGTCTTTGCTTTTTTTCCTTCTTCAGTGTGGATTCCGAGGTTCAATACTTCATCCACCATATCTTCAATTCCTTTGTCATTAATTCTTTTCACTCTGTCAAGACTTCAACCCCGGATGATTCCAAATGCCTACCTTATCTGCACCTGTATCCACACTGATCTACACCAGAGGTCAGCAAACTTTTTCTGTAAGGTAAGACTGTAAATGTTTTAGGCTTTGAGGACTACTACTCGTTTCTGCCATTTCCAACTACTTATTTCTGCCACTGTAGTGTCAAAACAGCCACAGACAAAAAATAACATTTTATTTGCAAAAAGAGGCCAGGGGACCAGACTTGGCCTATGGGCTGCTTAGTAAGCTGACCTCTACTTTAACCCAAGAGAAGAGAATCTTACAGTAAAGCAAACTGGCATCACTATAAAAGATCATTCATCTCAACTGGGCTTTCAGTACTCACTGCCAGTCCTATTATATCCTATTATATTTCACTACTATTTTCTGCAATATTCACTGCTATTTCAAACTTCCCCACTCTCCATAAACATCACCACTCGGTCATAACAGGTGATCTGATCTTTGATTACAAAGAGAAAACAGGAAGTCATTCAATGAGAATTCCTTGAATATCTTATCAACAACCTACAAACACATTTGCTTCCATTTATCCTTCTCCTTCTTTGTTCCTGTTAGCATGGAAAAATCGTCCTTCCCCATATTTAAAGTTAACACCTCTACCTGTGTTCAGATGACCCTCAGCACTGTTAAAAATCTCATGCTACACATTATCTCCTCTATCTCCAGGATACGTACATACCCTCCCTCCCTACTAGCTCATTCCCATCAGCATGAAAAAATGTTCATGTTTCTTTCATCTTAACAGCAACCCTTTCCCCAAGACAAGAAAACAAAAACCTTTCATCCTATATCCCTAATTAATCTTCTTTCTTCCTCTTTGATCCTTCAAATTTAACAAATCTAAAATTGAACTCACTACCTCCCTAATCTTTCTCTGTCTTAGTAAATAACAATTATACTCTACCCAACTGCCCAACATAGAGAACTTAAGAATAATTCTTGGTCTTTTTATATAATACCTTTATTGAGCTATAGTTGACATACCATACAATTCACTCATTCAAAGTATGTACTTTAATGGTTTTTAGTATATTCACAGAGTTGTGCAATCATCACCAAAATCAATTTTAGAATATTTTTATCACCCCAAAAAGAAACCCCATTCCCATCAGCAGGCACTCCTCATTTCTTCCTACTCTCTCCCCCAGGAAACCACTACTCTACTTTCTGTCTCTATAAATTAGCCTATTTCTTGATGTTTTAGAGATGGAATTATACAATCTGTGGTCTTTTGCAATCTTTCATTTAACATGTTTTCTTTTTTCATTTCACTTAGCATGATGTCTTTTAAGGTTCATCCACACTAGCATGTTATCAGTACTTCACTTCTTTCTGTTGCTGAATAATATTCCATTTGATGGCTACCCATTCATCAGTTGATGAATGTTTTGTTTTCACTCTTTGGTCATTTTGAATAATGCCACTATGAACATTTGCGTACAAGTTTTGTGTGAAGTTATGTTTTCACTTTGCTTTGGGTACACACACAGGAGTGGAATTGCTGGGTCATATGCTAAATCTATGTTTAACCTTTTCAGACTGTTTTCCAAAACTGCTATACCATTTTACATTCCCACCAGTAATTTATGATTGTTGCAGTTTATCCACATCCTACTCAACACTTGTTATTGTCTTTTTGATTACAGCAATCCTAAAAGGTATGAAATGGTTATCTCACTGTGGTTTTGATTTGCATTTCCCTGAAATTCTTGATTTTTCACTATTCCTGATAGCTAATCAACTTGCAACTCCTGTCAATTCTCTGTAATCCTCTCATATCTATCTATTCCGTTGCCATTACTCTAGTCAAGCCATGATCTACCCACACCTGCCTGGATTACTGCAACCTCCTCCCTGCTTTTTTTTTTTTTTTTTTAAGATTTTATTTATTTATTTGACACACAGAGAGAGATAGAGAGAGAGAGGGAGAGAGCACAAGCAGGGGGAGCGGCAGGCAGAGGGAGAAGCAGGCTTCCTGCATGAGCAGGGAGCCCAATGTGGGGCACGATCCCAGGACCCTGGGATCATGACCTGAGCTGAAGGCAGCGGTTTAACCAACTGAGCCACCCAGGCGCCCCCTCTCTGTCTCTTTGACTCTCCTCTTGGTACCTTCCAACCAACTGGCAACATATCCAGACTCTTTCACCTAAAATGGCAATTTGATGTTTTCATTTTTGGCCACCGCTTAGACACTTCAAAATCTTGCTTTTTCTCCTAGGAAAATATTCAACCTATTTAATAAAATTAATAAAGCCCCTCATGATACAGACACTGCTTACCTCTTTGGCTTTACCTCTGGCTACTGTCCTTTGGCACTCTAGCCATTGTGAGCACCTTTCCGTTTTTAAAATGTCACATTCACTGTTACCTCAAAGAGTTTTCTCATGTTGTTCCCTCTGACTAGAACTCTCATCCTTCTTTGGACTTGGCCAATTTCTACGCATCATCCTTCATCTCAGCCAAAAGCCAGAGGACCACTTACTCTAGAAAGCCTTCCCTGATTCTCCATAGGTTAGGTGATCCTGCTAAAATACTGTACACTTTCATCGTTATAGTCCCTTTTGGACTTCACTATTATTTCTTGTTTAATCATTTGTTTTCCTTGCTAAACTGAAACTCCTTGCCATAGGGCAGGGACAATGTTTATTTTCCTTGCCATTGAATCCCCAGCTTTAACATGTAACAGAAACTGAATACATACTGTTGAATATATTCAAGAATCTTAACTCATTTCTAAAGAACATGGCCTGGATACCAACATCTGTATTTTCTGATTTTTGTTCCATTATGCAAAATTCTAAGAAAACTCACAATGAGAAAAAGTTGTTCTTTACCCTAATGTGAAACAGAGAAGTCTCTAGAGAAGATATTCCTTTAAGCCATATCATGTGCTCAAGCTTTAAAAACACATTTATGGAAAGCTCAGATGAAGTAAAAGTATGATAGATATATAATATGTACATTAATAGGAAAAATTAGTGGCAGGGATAGAGGATGTGGAAAAAGGACAATATCATGCCTTCTTTATTTTTCTTTGTACCTAGCAGATGCACAAGAAATTATTTCTTACTGAATACTTTCAAAGTTCTTATCAATAAAATGCTTTGTCTATTTCAGATAGAACTATGAATTCATGAAATACTATTTTTCTAAGTAATCTCTCCACCCAACGTGGGGCTCAAATTTATAACCCCAAGATCAAAAGTCACATGCTCTACGAACTGAGCCAGCCAGGCGCCCCCATGAAACACTATTTTGAGTTGGCAAAAGCATTTATGTTCTAAAGAAAATTTGAAATCAAGATGTCTTTTCTTAGAGTTTTAAAAAGAAGTCAATGTCAATCAAAGAAAATGCAAATGTATGGCTTATTAATTTTTAAACCACATTTTTAACTGAAGTGTAAGTAATAAACATACAGAAAAGTATATAGATCATAAGTGTACAGCTCAGTGAATTTTCAGTGTGAATTTTCACAAAGTAACCACCACCTTCATTATAACATAGAATGTTACAAACATTATATTACTAACACCCCCAAAAGGCTCCCTACACCCTTTCAACCCTCACCAAGAAAGATAACCACCATACTGACCTCTATCACTTTAGATTAGTTTTGCCAACTTTTGAATAGGAATTATATATTAAGTACTCTTTTGTGTCTGGTTATTTTGTTCATTATTATGTAAAGTTCATACATTTTGTTGATATAGTAGTGAGTGTTGCCTTGCCATTGTTGGATAGTATTCCAATGTAAAATGTGCCAGATTTCATTTGACTGTTAATGGACATTTGAATTTTCTCCAGTTTTTG